ATTAAAATGAATTATTAAAATGCTATGTTTTATTACTATGATATATTTGTGATAAAGAGTAAAAAAGTTTTATTTCGCTAGACTTTTATATTAATGAATATTTGCGTACTAACAATTATGCAAATTTCATTTAATGCAGTCTCGTGTCTCATTCATCAGAGAATATAAATATACTCTCTCTCTCTATCGCTATCTCTCCTTTCTTCTAGTAATTACTTAAATTACATTTTAATTAAAATGATAACACATGACTTGTGCTTGCATTGTATGAATGTGTAAATATTGTAACCATCGTTATCTTTCATCCTCGTCACTCACGTCCGCGCGAAACAATGTTTGCATTCGGATTTGCTATGCGGGCGTATAATCATAGGGTTTATCTTGTGCGCATTTGGTTTAGGATAAGAGGATCAAGCATTTTCAATATTACATAAAAAATGAGGCAAACAGATAAAGCATATATTATTAAAGGAATCAAAGCGTAGTCATTTCTTTTAAATGCGCTTTAATATTAAAATCTACAATATACGTGTATTTAAAATAAAAGTAAAACTTTAATGTAATTAAATCTCAAAAATTTAATTCGGTGATTTATTTTATGGATGGTCTTTCAATAGAACTTTAATCAAATATATCTGCTTAATATTTACAGAATATAATTATGGATTTATGTAACATAGATTTCATGTTTAGTTTAAATTCATCATCAATCTCATTCTTCAAATTGGAAGTAACGAGAGTTCAGTGCGTTACACATTGACATCAATACATATTTGACTATCATTTCACATCCATATCACGCGATATTAAATTATAGTAAATAGTATAAAATAGATATGGACGTATTTAAGTATTTCTCTCTCAGAAACCTTTTTTAAATTTCAGCATAATAAAAGATATAGTAAAATTACATTATGAGAAAATATACACATAACAAGATCGATTATTAACGATTTAAACGCAAACTTTAAAATATGAACAATTAAAATATAAAATAGTAAAATATAAATGTACCTGTTTTACAAATTTCATGATGCAACAAATTTGACAAAACTATAATAAATTTCATTCTGAGAAGATAAGATAATATAAGATAAATTATATATATATATATATATATATATATATATATATATATATATATATTAGAGATTTAAATGCTAATTTAAAAATATAGAGAACAAATATCATAAGATGCTTAACGTCAGGCCAGAAAGGAAAATAAATAAACGTTTAAGTGGATAAGAAGAAAATGCTGCTGGTATACGCATTGGCCATAAATGTACATTGTAAATTTGTAATCGTCGTCGACTTTCACCCATCACGTCGACGACGAGCCGATGTTTGCCCCGGGATAAACCACGCGGGAATAGAACCCCGGGATTCATCTCGTGTCTGGTTCAGGACGCGAGAAGAAGGGCGCGAAAGCGTGGAATAGGAGGTGAAGACGAGCGACGAGGTGCGCGCGGAAGGGTACAGAGGAAAAAAGGCGGGAAATACCCTCGGGAGTCCTCGGCAGATTTATGCCGGCCCTGGCTGGCTCGCTGGCGCCCCGTATACATTTATCCCTCTCTGGTCCTGGCGGAAGGATGAGGACGCGGCTGACGGGGAGAGGTTATCTCCCTCCTCTTCCCCACCAATCTCCATTCTCCCGCCCCCGCGGGCCAAAGGATCTTGCAGGATATTATACGATATGCACCGAAAGTTGATAGATGGCTATTACGTTCCGCTAAGACGAGCGTACCACGCCACCGCGAAAATTCTCTCCCTCAGGATTCTTCGCTTCCACCGTGTGATTTCTCAACGGAAAAAACTACCCCGCCCGCGTTTCGTCGCCGTCGCCGTCGTCGTCGTCGTCGTCCCAACGTCCGCAATAATTTTCGGTTCTCCTGATGGGCGACCCTTCTCCGAAAACCTGCCCCGAGGTCGACTTTCGCGCATGTCGGAGAACGAACGTTATTGAAAATATTAAGGTGGTCAGATTTATTTAACGGTATTCCTACTTCATATTTCAGATTTGACTCGCGGCTTCTTTGATATTCGCATACTGTTCGCGTTACATTGCAATAAGAAATTATTAATGTTCTTGATGCGTGAGTTTGTAGAGATGGATAGAAAGAGATTTCATAGAACATGAATATTCTGTCTTTCTGATCGCGTCTGTTTTACTCTATACATTTGTTTTATAGGACTTCACACGTAATGCTCAAGGAATATGAATGAAGTGTATTGAAATGAAAATACATGTGCCTGTGCATGTTTAAAAGGGAAAGACGGTCCAGTTTCATAATGATTTTCTCTGTCTATTATATCCCAGGAAAGCTATAGCTTTTATATCTGTGTAAAATTGAATAAATGTTATGAAAAAGGAAGGAAAATGAGTCCTTTTACGAAAATATTATGCAGCAGATTGTTTTTCTTTTATCGCGAAAGAAACCTTTTCATCTCTCTCAATTCCGCAATGACATTTGCTATTCAACTCGTTCCGCGCGTTATAGATAATTAAAATTAATAACCATGCATATATGGAGTCTAGTGAAATATCAAATATATGAAATGTGTCTTTGATCATATGCAAACATGTTTTTAGAGAAACGTACAACATTAATTCTAAATTTCTGCGAATTATTATATTATTATTTCATAGATATTATTAGATAATTAACACGCATAATCAAATTTTAAAATTGTACTGGATATAAAATTATTCTGGATATCGTACATATATAACAATTATACAATAATAAAGCGTGATATGAAAAAATAGTAAAATAATAAAATAATAAAATAAATAAAATAAATAAAATAAAATAATAAAATAAATTTTTTTCTCTTATTAACTGTTTCGAATCTATAAATATACATACGAATGTCCCAAGAGAAAAGCCATTCTATCATCTTAGCGAACCAAAATATTAAGCAGGATGCAACCTAGTAATAGATTTGTCGAGCAGAAAGCAGTCTCACTTTGGGATTATAACAAAACCCTTGATCCGGGTGAACCGACCAACGTTAATACAATTAACGGAGCTAAGTACTGTAATACGGCCTCCCTGCCCCTTGACCCAAATATTTGCATCGCTACGACGATCGCCAGAATGAATCATCTTGTCGGCGAGTTCTATTCACGAATTCTTGAATTAATAGAATCGCTGCGGCTACTACAACGTTGCATAGTGTTGTCGTAACTGTAGCAGAGGAAGGTTGCACAAATTAATTTTCGCATAATACTCAAATTATTGCAAAAGGAAAATTAATCAACAGCGTTGTAATTTCCAATCACAAAAACCGAACAAGTCGGTCATTGATTTTTTCTAAACTACTTTTCTAGAGCTGCTACTTAACAAAGCGACTCTTAATCACCGCGATTTGATTACATAGATAATAAATACGTATTTGGTATCTGGAAAAATTCGAAAAAGCTTCACCTTACAGTCATAAAATCTCTTTATAGTACAATGCAATAACTGCGAATTCGTCGATAATAGGAGACACCGATATCTTTGGCACTTCCAAGTGTCTTTTGTCTTTCAATCCGTTTACGGTGCCGGTCGACTTCAAAGCCGGAGACCAATGTAGCTCGATTGGACCGACGCCCCTTGGTTAGGAGCCGTCAAACGTTCCGCGGGTATAAGCCGGTCGATCAGCTCTTTCGAATTTCGATGTTATACGCGACAGGCGACAAAGTGAGAAGCTACTATGAATTCCGAGGTGAAAAGAGGTCAATAATACGGGGGCAGCCACAAATATCAATTCGAAATACCTAGTTCAATCTATGAAAAATATATCAGGAAAATAAAATTTGCCTACTCTTACCGAAATTATATATGAATTATAAGTCTCTCCATTGTTATATAATTTTTCAATTGTGACGTAATTAAGGAGGACAAGAATTTTATAAATAACATGTTGAGCGTATGGGACATGATGATAGAAACTTAAGTATTCTGTCAAATGTTACTATCAAAAAAGATATATATTATATCTTCATTACAAACGTGATAACTGTTATCGTGAAAATTCACGCCTGCTACGCTCCGACGTAAATCAGGATAAGTGACATGTAATAGCTCTTCGGATAATTCCGGAACTTCTCACACCATTGAGTGCTGGATGGCACCATTGAGAGCAAGTGAATGTCGAATCACGTAGTAACATAACAATGAGACAATTCCACTAACTTAATCGCATGATTGAACGAGATTTAATCAGGAAATCGTGATTGACGAATTTGAGTAAATCAATTTCGCAGAAATTTCGCGAATAATTATGTATGATTTTTGAAACTTTGCAGATTTTTGGGGATAGGTCGCGTGTAAAAAAATAGAATTTTCATTGTTACGCTTCTTTAACTAACTACAAAACTGCCTCGATACTAATCGTGCGAACGAGCTTTCTTGAAAGCAAACGCGAAAGCTTCAGTCTCTCTCTTTCCCTCCCTCTCGTTCGTGCGTACTTCGGGAAATGGAAGCGTTTCGCGATCGAGGTGGCGAGATTAGTATCTGCGACGCTATAGAAACGAAACGTTACTTATTTCATATCCGACACGAAACGCTGCGGCGTATTCAATGGCGTGGAGATGCTGTGCTTCCGGCACGTACGCAGCATTGTTGATAAGTCACCGTGCTTGACACCGGTACAGATATCGCTAACAAAACGCGAAATCGATTTCCACTCGTGTGAGACAGAAACGAAATTCCGCGCACACGGACGCCTCAGACGCTCTAAATGTAGTCATGAAAAATTGTCGGGACAATCCGGGGAATATTCGCGATGGAATTCGGTTCGAGTCGACCAGGGCGCAAAGCGGAGCGACGATCGACATTTGAAGATGTCTATGAAATATTTAACGGTCTTTGCGAACCTCTATGATTCGGTTTTCTTCGCGAGTATATCTCGTCGACGTGCGGATATCTACAATTCCTGAAGAGGAATGTTGCACGTGAGTTGGATATACGTTGGATTTCAGACGGAGAGAAGAAATGTACTCTAGTACTTACTTAGACGAGATAGCTTGTAGGCGTCCGCAGTGTTAATTACATCCACGAAGGCTTGCAGCTCAAATTTGCGAGTCGTAATATTTTGGTTGTGGTTCTTCATCGCGATCTTGAAAGCGGACTGCACTTCGTCGGTACCTTGCTCGAAAATGGCACCTGAAAGCAGAAGATAGCAAACTTAATTATGTATTTTCCATTTTGCAACAATGCAAATTTTATACACGTATACATATACATATATCATGTATATGTATATGTTGCAAGCTTTTTGTAAAATCAGTCTTTTCATAAAAGGCTCACCCTTTTTAAAAAGAGGATCTTTGAAGAGACGACCGGCATTTTATAAAAGCCAAGGCTTTTTGTGAAAAGAGACTGAATTTACGAAGAGTCTGAGACACCAAAATAAATAAAATTTAATTATTCAAGCTCGCGTCATATTTATAAAAATAATATCCAAAGTATATCTAATAAGTTAAGTTGAAAAAGCACATGTATAGATATTTTTTATATAAAATATAAATATAAAAAATGTGATTTATATAATTTTTCTTCTCTCTCTTTCTCTCTAGATTAGTTGCAATTTGGGAAACGCGTGGGACTCGCGAACTTAGCAAATGTCGCGAGGAAACGCGATTACTCTGCCCGTCATGAAATCGGATGTGATAATCCGACGCGACACCCTGTATCGGATGTCTGATGTGCGGCGCTCCGTTTACTACTGGCTCACATACGACGCAGTAGTACAAGCCGACGTCTGTTCAGGCAGCGTCTGCATACGAGGCCCGCGTAATTACACCGATCCATTCGGCGTTAATAGTCGGTAATACGTACCAATATTAATGCTATCGCTCGTCATGTAATTCACCGTAAACCGACTACATATCCGATAACTCGCTGAATCTATTTCTCGAGATTGATAAGCATCGCTCGATTGTCATGGCACAATAGAGCGTAACATTTCGATAGATATTCCACAGTTGGACACAAAGTTAAAAATATTTCGCAGAAATATATTCGCGAATCCGATGAAAATGCCGGCGTCGTCGCGCTGTAAAAATAATATGGCTGCGTGCATTTATCAAGCTATTTATTTCACGTCAAATGTATCGCATATTCCAGATGCTGCTGTCGATGAAGTGATCGATGATATACGCTAACACAGTATGCGTCGCGTATAATCGAGTAACTGTCAGCGTTGAATACTGCACTTTGTGTCTTCGTTATTCCGAACATCCAGCGTTACCATTAATATCTGGCTGGGGAGCGCTGGAGGGGAGGGAGGAGGAGGGGGCGGGTGTCGGGGACGGATTTTCGTATATAAAATGTACACTTCTCCAAGTTAGTCGCGAATAAAGCGAGGCGGGGAACGAGAAGAACGGGCAATCGCGCGAATTGACAAACTTGTATCGAAATAATTTTCGTTACGACTTTCCAAGTTATAACGCGCCGAACGTCGCCCGTGCCCGGGAGCTGTTTTTCCTCGCGCCCGTGCAACGAGAGAACTTTTCACGCGGCGAATAAGATACGCTCCGAAGTGTTACACGCGATATTATAGCGCCCCTTTTCCCGTTTCATTTCTTCCTTCTGCCTCGGCTCGTCTCGCCTGCCTGCCTGCCTGCCTGCCTGTCTACCTGCCTGCTTCCGTGCCACGTCACACGTGAATTTTTCTTTGCTTTCATGAGAGCATCTAATTTCGTAGTTTCGCGCCGCGTCTTGTTTCGCCTCGTGAAATATCGGTGAGGAGTTTAAAACAAAGTAGCGTTACGATCCGCATGCGAAATCCCGACAGTAAACTGAAAGTGGACACGATATCGCGCCGCAACGTCGCGCGACGTGATTTTATATTTAAAAGCGCAGAGATATTGCTTTGTGCGTAATCCATGCAGTTATTAACTCTTTGGCATTGTACGCGACGAACAATGCGCCGGACAAGAATTATTCCCCCTGATGAAAATTACATGTTATTGTTAGTCGCGCTGACAATAAACTCCAAAGACTTTTATCTCCGTTATACGCGATAGGCTTTAACAAGATTATTACAATAGACGTCAAATATAAAGATATTAAACTTTAATTTATCCTATTTGTTTATGCGCCAAGTTTGAGAAATACTCTACAAACATGAGACATTTAAAACAGAGATACTAAGCAAAAATTATCGATTAAACAGAGAGATATTGCTCCATATATTTGATTAAATCGCCTCTTTTATATCGATAAATTAAATCACGATACAATAGTGCATTTAAAATTACAACCTGCTTGCTATTAAATACCGAATATCGATCTTGCGAACGATATCCGGCGTCGTATATTTCGTTGAATCTGCGAATAATCTTATGTATGCGCGCTTTAAGCTTTTTGTTTTGTACCTATTTTTAAAATATTGAGAATTTAATGAAAATTGTACCGAATTGTCCTTAGATATGTTTAGAATCTTCAGTACAATTTTTAAATCGATTCACTAAAGCCTTCACAAGTTATAAGGATTCTAATTTGCACCGAATATTAACATGTGTTCTTATGGGAAACGTATAACCATGTTGATTCAAATGACAAAAACACATGGAAATAATATTCAGAATTTATTTAAAATTTGCAAAAGTTTAGATACAGAGGAAATATTTGGTCAAATAATATTATACAAGTACTAACTGGTTAAAAAGATATTAAATATAATTCAATGAAATTATCTGCCATGTATCTGTTACAAGGTGAAATTCTCTGCCAAAAGTTAATCATTTCGATTGACAAAATTCGGAATTATTTCAGTAAAAACGCAACAAATATTAAAAAATACATCTCTGCACTCAGCCAAGATCAAATTGTAATATTCCATACAATTTCTCATATTCAAGATACACCAAAAGTGGATATATTCGTCGATATTGATTTTCAGCTACTTTTTGCTGGGATTGTATGTACATACAAAACATCCTTAAACGATTGCGCGCGTGTATCAAGATACGAGGCGTGCCGTAGTGTTTTACGAGGCGCATAATTTTATTATCTCGCTGAACGCACAGGGAGAACGCGCGGACGAGATACGTCCGGCAATCTAAGCTATTGTGCTCGGTGCACATCCGTCCCATGGAAAACGCTGCCGAAAGAATTCTCCATCGTAATTCGGCACGATTGCGCCGCAATATAACATCGCTAATTACACGTAATTGATATCGCGGAACGTATACCGCTTATAATCCGCCTCCAGCTTTAATTCGAGGTTTACCGCGAACGAAGCTCTTATCCCTCGAATATTTGACAAGATATTTAAATTGCTGGGCGCGCCTTCCGTAGAGCGGAATTATCGGGACGACGATAAAGGGGGATTATTATTGCACACACGCGTGCTTAATAATTAGCACACGTTGCAGGTAATTAATGCCTTTGAAGCGGTTTTATGGCTGTCCGAGACGGGAGATTAAACCGAAAGACGTTCATCGCGCGATACGGTCCACGTGATATCGGGCATCGCGCTAATATCATTTGATTAAAATACTTGAAAGGACGAATTGGAATTCGGTCCGCGCTCCGCTTAATACGCTCTTTCGCTCGTTTCCGTCCGCGTTCTCCTTGCAAACATGTTCTCTTTCTCTCGCCGTGCCAATATACATATATTCCCGGAATATCTTCGCCGATATTAAAATTGTTTTACATCGCGCCGCGAGCGTTTCGTTAACCAGGATGAAAATCAGCGTCAGCGAAAATACAACCGCGTAACTGGATTGTAATTACAATAAAATCCGCAACACCGCATTGCCGCCAGCGACACATTAAGCTAATATTAATTAACTCGCTCTTCGTTCACTGTGTCAAAAGCGCCGGAAATTTGCGCGCTGCAAATTTTGCCGACTGTGAGAAACAATCGCGATGAAAGGGGAGAGGTAACGTTACGTTTAGATTTATTCCGCAATTTAGGTGGTAAACTTATTGCAGGAGGGGATAGGAAGTGAAATGTAACGCTCCGCTTATCAAATTAAATTCGAAAAGAATAACGTCGTTTGATTCCCAGATTGAAGATGCACACCATTATCACGTTGGCAACACGGAAGTCTAACGATTTAATGCTAAATCTATATCACTCCGTAATGTAGGTATTTATGCATCCTAGAGAGAGGAAACTCAGCGAATATATTGGCTTTCCCTTAAATACGACGTACAAAACTTGGGTGGTAAATCACTGCGTAGGGCGCGCTTATTACATAGCTAGCGCATTCTTATTACCGGTCGATGAGAGTTGGCGAATTAATTGAGATGGCAATTAAAACAATGAATATTACCGTTTGCCGTGAAATTGAAACAACGATCGTTAAACTCGATTTCCACGATGCAAGATCGCTTTATATGGAATTAATTCTCTACTATGGATGCGCATGATAATGCAGCGGGCAAAAAGGCTCCGAATGTTCCAGGGTACTCTCGTACACATGACGAAACGTATGTACTTCCACAACGATACAAGTCTGCGTACATAATCCTAGCGGGATAGGTATTTCCGTTTATCTCCGTCAGCGAATCCCTCCGTGCGAGGGTGATGGGGCGCGGGATGAGATAATAAAAAGAAAGAGATTTGGAATCCTCGACGATGCTCCAAGCCTACGCCAGGCTTCGGTGCGTAGACATACGCACTGACGTATCGCTCGTTTAGATATATCAGTGCCTTTAAACACCGGTCTACGTACCTGTGTTTATCTCCGCGCGCGTTGACAGGTGGGGCGCCGCCGCGCGTCTATTGATTGGTGCCCAGCTTCCCCACCAGTGTCTCACACCCTCGCATCGATTTCCTCTCTCAGTCGCTCATACAGCAGCCCTGCTGCACCTCTCGCTCTTTGGCGTCGTTCTTCTCCCCTGCACCTCCACCTTGTCTCTCTCTCTCTCTATCCTCTTGCTTTCTCTCCTCCCCGTTCGTCCCTTGTCTAGACTTCTCCTTTCCCCTTTACTCATCTCTCTCTCTTTCTTTCTTTCTCTCTCTTTTTCCTCTTCCTTCTTCTCTCTCTCTCTCTTTCTTTGTCGTTATTCTCGTTCTCGCGGTCTCTCCACAGCTGTCTGCCTTCCTATCATTTTCCCCCTTCGATCCTTCGTTTTTCTCCATGTCGACCAATAATTCGCTTCCTTTTTATCCTTATTTTCTCTCTTTCGTTTCTCGCCCGCATACT